GTGTGGATGGACTGTGATGTAAACACAGTGTGAAGGAACTGTGATGTAAACATAGTGTGGAGGGACTGTGATGTAAACACCGTGTGAAGGGACTGTCATGTAAACACAGTGGGGAGGGAACGTGATGTGAACACAGTGTGGAGGGACTGTGATGTAAACACAGTGTGGAGGGACTGTGATGTAAACACAGTGTAGATGGACTGTGATGTAAACACAGTGTGGAGGGACTGTGATATAAACACTGTGGATGGACTGATGTAAACACAGTGTGGATGGACTGTGATGTAGACACAGTGTGGAGGGACTGTGGTGTAAACACAGTGTGGAAGGGCTGTGATGTAAACACAGTGTGAAGGGACTGTGATGTAAACACAGTGTGGAAGGACTGTGATGTAAACACAGTGTGGAGGGACTGTGATGTAAACAGTGTGGAGGGACTGTGATGTAAACACAGCGTGGAGGGACTGATGTAAACACAGTGTGGAGGGACTGTGATGTAAATACAGTGTGGAGGGGCTGATGTAAACACAGTGTGGAGGGACTGTGATGTAAACACAGTGTGGAGGGACTGCGATGTAAACACAGTGTGGAGGGACTGCGATGTAAACACTGTGGATGGACTGTGATGTAAACACAGTGTGGAAGGACTGTGATGTAAACACAGTGTGGAGGTACTGTGATGTAAACACAGTGTAGAGGGACTGTGATGTAAACACAGTGTGGAGGTACTGTGATGTGAACACAGTGTGGAGGTACTGTGATGTGAACACAGTGTGGATGGACTGTGATGTAAACACAGTGTAGAGGGACTGTGATGTAAACACAGTGTGGAGGTACTGTGATGTAAACACAGTGTGGAGGGACTGTGATGTAAACACAGTGTGGAGCTACTGTGATGTGAACACAGTGTGGATGGACTAATAATAATAATAATAATAATAACTTTATTGCCTCCGTGTAAAAAGATTTACATAGGATAAGTACAGCAAAAAAGAGTTTTAAAATAATAACGAGATATATGTAAGAATTGTACAAAAAACAAAACAAAAAAACTTAACTAGTATTTAAATGTTAAATCAAACTTTTGGTTGTGTAAATATAATTGGCAAGTTCTATAATTATGCCAGGATCTTTGATTGAGAGTATATATGTGAACTGTGCATTTTTAGATGTATTCTGTTTTAAATTTAGCATATGTTCTCAGTTTGCTATTTTCTTTGAAAATCATTTCTTTCCAGAAACTGGTATATTTATTGAGAAATATTGCTCTGGAACAGCATTAATTAAAACAAAATGGCCAACAGTTGGCCATTTTGAATATCTATAACATGATGTAAAACAAATATATAAATTTGAACATAGTCAGTCAAAACATATCAGAGATATGGCTCTAGAAGTGCATTCATTAAAACATAATGGTTGCCAGTCGGCCATTTTAAATTGGATCTGAAAATAAAATGATGTGCATCAAGGTCATAATGTTCAACAGATGTACCAAGTTTAAACAAAATGCATCCATAAATGCATGATTTTGATGATTTTTTAGCACAAAAATGGCCGCCATTTGGCCATCTTTAATCAAACTGATATGCATCAATGTAGATTATTATGTATGATGTATGTGTGAAGTTTGAGATTGTGATTGGTCCAGGCATGTCTGAGATACAGGTCTGCACGCATGGATGCACAAAGGTCAAAACATAGGTCCCTGTTTTCAGACTGTGAAAAAAAAACTAGTTTGCATAGTTATCTCCTTCAAAATTTACAATGTTCTATTAATGAGTGGAAAAATCGAATTGAAAGTTATGATTTTGAAAAAAGGCGTTAAGATAAACTGTATCTCTTCTACACACTTATTCTTTGTCAACTAATTATCAGTCCTTCATATCGGGAGAGTTGTCACTTTCTTCATTTTTGAAAAATAGGTACACATGAGTTAGTAATGAAACTTAAAATGTAAAAAAAAAAACTTTGTAAATATGAAATACAAAAGTAAATGGGGTTAGTAATGAACGACAACAATTCAATTAAATGAATTTCTCCGTCACATTCATGGAGAGTTTTCAGGTTGGTGGAATGAGTCATTGTTCTTCTTGGTAGATGACAATTTGTCCATTCTTGTCATGATCCTCAACGATGACAATAACCTTGTAAGGATGTCGTCTTGTGACACACACAGCAACAGGATGGAATAGCTTGTCACGAGATCTATCAACTCGACAAAGGTATCTTCCCGTTGGTGAGAACATCTTGACACATCCTTTGCTGCATACAAACACATTATCGTCCATGTCCGTAGACACACCGAGTGGATTCGTAAGCTGCTTTTCTGACCCAAATGTAAACTCCAAGCATTTCTTCCTACTGTTGAACACTTTCACAATCCCATGACTGCTGTCTGTGATCAGTATCTGTTCTTTGTTGTTTACAGCAATGAACCTGCCGATACCATCGCATTTCAAGTGTTGACTGTCTTTTCTTGCTCCTAGTTCCCAGTAACAGATGCTGGTCTGGTTCATACATTCAGACGATGATGGTGTTACCCATTCGACATCATTAGTACAGATTGATTCTTCCTTCGTGATTGATCTTGCAACCACGTACATTTTGGTTTGTTCCAGGTTGGTGGTGACACCTAGAACCTGACTGCTATCATCTATGCCTTCACTGCAGTACTTAACACCAGAGTCACTATATCGAGTCAAAGAATGCCCATCTGTAATGTAAATAGTACCTTCCAGAGAAGACAAAGTTTTAGTTGTTGCAACATCACATGGGTTCTGAAAATATATCTGTGACTCAAATCCACCATTTATCGAGTATTTTAGCACCTGATCGTTCCCCATTGCAGCAACCAAGAACATTTCATCACCCATCAACGTAACCCCTCTTGGTTGTCTCAGTCGCTTACGGTCATAGATTGGCCCATATGAATCGATCGTTTTAACTTTGTTGAACTTCCTATGCCTACCAATGGTTGCAGGTAATGCATTGACGCCTGTCAAACTGGTTACTTCTGATCCAATGAAAGCCAAGCTACCTATGCATGACGTCAAACAAGATTCACTGATACCGTCACCACTCTGGAAAGTGATTGGTTGAATGGTGGGTGGCGTTATTTTTGTGTTTGTAGCGATTATCTCTCGCAATTGGCCGCCATGTTGTTTCTCTAAAAAGAAGACCCAAGAATCCGTAGAGCTCCAAAGCATTTCTTCCCCAAGGGATGTGATCTTTTCACCTTGTTGAATAGTTTCATCTAATTGAGAAATATTATTCTCAATGTTCCCCATCACTCCTTCATAATGACTATGGACCTGCTCTAATAAAGCATGTTCACAGCACTTAATTGTATTAATAATTTCTGAAGTTTTTGTAGAGATTTCTTTATAGAGTTGCGTTCGCTCAATTGACAACTTATCATGTTTATGATTGAGACTTTCGCGTATTTTCTTCATTTCTGGGACCTTTTTGTTAACTTGTTCCAGTAATTTTACAACTTTTGCTCGTTTCTTCTCAGCAGCCGTTGCCAAGGCAACATGCTTGTGGTCATCTCCTTGGTGGAATGTCCGAATGCATTGAAGACACACTGGCACATCACAGCTCTGACAGAACAACTCTACTTGGTGTCCCTCGTGTAGCGAACAATTTCTAGGTTGAAGCAAATTCGAGGGCGTAGAACGAAACTCGTCAATTGAGAGCATTTTGTGATGTTTTGTGACAGTGATGTTTTGGTGTTTTTCACTACAGTCACTGCATTGTAACTGGTCACACACAGTGCAGTAGGACTCGGCAGATGACTCCTTACAAACACTGCAGACTTCACCAATTACTGCTTTAGACTTTTTCTGTACTTTCACAAATTCTTTCAAAGAATTTATAATATAACTATCTGGAAGTGCGTTGACCCCTCCACGGGGAATCAGGGATGTGCTGTCAATTCGACATAGTGGACATTTTAAGCGGCCATAGTTTCTAGATATGATACTCGTCAAACAACCAACACAGATGGTGTGGCCACATCTTGGTAATGTTTTAGGGGTGTCAAACTGGTCCATACAGACAGGACATTGTAGAAACTGATCGTCGATTTCCTGGCTTATTTTAGCTGTCGCCATGTTATTGAGTTATTACTGAAAAAAATACAATTATATATGCATAAAGTAAGTAACCAAAACATCAAATTCGTTTTATTTTACATAATTGGCTGCATCACTATTACCCAATGCCTATCATCTGCTCTATCATAATTCACTGATTATTAGTTCATCCACTAATCTATTTAAAGGGCGGCGGTTGTTGTACCACGTCCTGTTCGATATGGGTTTCATAGCGATGTACACGTCTAAAATACATTGTTCGAATACGTGCTGCACGATGACCACCGCCATTTAAATAGACTGTCAGTTCACAAATGAGACCCGAGTACGACATAATTACAATATGGACCCCTCATTTATATTGCATGACCTTTCAACCTAATACAATGAACACAAACATGCCATGACATTAATGCCATAGAATTAAAGGGCGGTAGTCGTTGCGCCACGCATGAGTGAGATATATGGGTCTCATATAAACAAAGATGGTGACTTTGATTGTTGCGCAGATCAACGAGTGCAAACTGAGACGTTACCAAGCTTTAATTAGGTATTTCAGGTGATTGGAAGACATCGAAGGAGTCAACGGCGGTAATTAGTGTAAGTCGTCATGCCCAGATTAAACCTCATACTTGCGCTTACCATTAGAAGAGCGCATTGGATTGTGGGAAAATCAATATTATCAACACAAATGTTGCACATGTGCAGCGTGACGACCACCACCCTTTAATATCAGAGGCACATAATAGCTAACAAGGTCGCGTGAGTTGTGCCCTCTGCAGTGCTCCAAGTTTGTGGGGTCTCATGCCTTCTGGTCGGCGAGGGCGCCTCACCCTCCTACATGTCAGTCTAAAGTACTGTGTGAGTTTACAGTTCAAAGTATCACATCACGGAACACATTCAACAAACTATTCATCGCATAGCTACAAGAATTAAGCAAGCATTTTGTGGGGGGCTGAGCTGTAACACACATGCAGTTAAAAGCAGTCGTCAGCTTACTAACATGCATTCGGTAGTCTTTAAACAACAACAACGGAAGTGTGTGCCTTACCTTTGCCACGATTTTAACAGCCGTCAACTTTTGCCGGATACCAAATCCTAAAGGTATGTGGACACGGATACATTTCCGTGTATGACGTATTCCGTGACCCAAGAACCTCAAACAGCGCCACAAGTGTTCATTCGAAAACGACTACTGGGACGTGTTTGTTACAACATCTGTTCAGCTTGTAAAAAACTCCTCTCAAAATAATTATTGTACGAATTTTCTCAAACAAAATGAATTCCACGTTCTCAACAAGCTTCTTCATCACACAGAGACAATTTTACACGAACACATGTGAAAAATAAAATTTCTCAAAATATTAGAAACATTCTCCTTCAACAAAACTACACGAGTCAACAAATGGTATTATGTAAAATTAAACAAATATTAACTAGTAATGACTGTTCTGTGAGTTGACGCACGTAGTTATCAATAATCTCGGTCACGAATCACCAGATAAAATTACTGAATTATGACATTAAATAACATATGATTCAATTTAAAAAAAAGTACATCTTAAAAAACATCTTAATACAAAAATAATAGAAAATAATATGAATACCAACGAATCTCAAAAGTTGAAATCAAAACAAATCCAACTATTGGTAACTGAAAACAACAAGTTAGTGTCTGTATAAAGACACATCGTGTAATGGAATATTGTGAAACCATTTATATTTCTATTTTGTAATGTTCTGAGCCTAGTTATTTAACATATTCGTGTAGATTTAATTTAGCGGATCTTACTTATCAGTGAAAATAACGAAATTAAAACTTAGTGAATAATTAACGCATTTACAGTATACGCGCAGCATATACGAATATCCAGACTTGTAATGACGTCACCGCGCTGTAATAGACCCCTTTATTAATAGTCAATAAAAAATAAATTGAAGAGGAGCGTGCACAAGAAAAATATCAGAAAATTTCACAATTCCCTCTAGAAAATATATAGTGCGTACCTTACCTTCCCCACGTTTTGCACGACGGTAAACCTTTGCTTTCGGCGAATGTGACGATACCAAATCATTAAAGGGCGGT